TAGGTAATATTTATTGGTAGGCAAAGTTAATTAATTTAGGACTTTGTAGGAGTTTTATTTAAAAAGACTCCTCCTCTTATTTTCAGCACCAATTTGTTGAAAAATGAACAAGTTTGAGAATTTACTATTTATAATTCTCATTCGTTTATGTTATGCTACATTAATTTTAGTGATGTGAAATATAAAGAGATCGCAAAAATCATTGTGCGTAAAACTAAAAGGAGACACCGTTATTGTCGATTGACTGTGGCGATCGGCTAGGAGATGTTTTCTTCAAACTTTATTAAATATTGTGTATGAGGATTACAGCCAAATACTTTGTACATGATCTTCGGGAGAATAGATGTTAATAATATGAAGTAGAGTAATAATGATTGTGATGATCTTTTGTGAGATTTGGCTGTGTTGACTTAACGTTGTTTAGGTTGCTTTGAATTTTTTCTTCTGGATTTGAGGGTCAGTATTTATAAAAAAGGTGCTAATGCAGTAAATGAAAGTGTCAGCTATGGACGCAGGGGTAGCGCCATGTGTTTTTATGCAAAAGTTGATAGGACATCTCGGGCAGTGCTATCAGCTTTATCAGGTTGTGTTCAGATGGTCAGGGTAGTCGTTAGTCTTCCTAAAGAAGCTTTCGATTGTGATCGCCATGTCGATCGAGCAATCGGAAACCCTAACAGCGATAGCTTGGGTCGTCTGTGTGATGATTTCTATGATTGGGCCATATCTATCCACTTGGGCTGAGATTTGTACGTGGGTCATGTCATTTCTTGTGACCGGATATTTTCTAAGTATAACAGTAGGCATCAAGAAGAATGTCCCTGTATTGCTCTCAAAAGGTGCATATTTATACTTTCAAATGTGTTACTGTAATTTCTGTTATTTTTTAAAATGTGATATTTTCTAATAAAATATGTGTATTTGTAAAAATAGTATTTTAATCTGATAGTTAGACTGACGTATAAAATAAGACAATCTAAAGATCTTATTATAAAATTAACTATTAACGCAAAATTGGAATTGATTTGAGCTTAATTGTAAAGGACATTTTTTCGGCCAGCAATCTTGCAAACTGTGCACACGACATTCCTTTTTATTAGTTGAGCATGTAAAGAATACTGTGCACAAAAAAATGAACTACAAAAGTTGGTGTCAAATATGGGGTAAATTTCACCATACAGTCATCAGATTTTTCATCGTTGGATCAATACACATAACGGTAAAGAACCAAACGACTGCACTACAGTCATGATATGACTGAATGCTCCCAAATATGGAAAAGTTGTGGTATACATATGTACATAGTACCAAATCAACACTACTTAAAGCCATAAATTATTTTATATAAATGGTGCTAGCCAGTTAGTCCAAATTCCCACAACACAATACAAAATGATCACTTTCCTCCAAAGGTGAAAAAAGGTTATTGATGATCAATACAACATACATGTAAATATATTCTTATAGTCCTTTTATTGATTGGCATCACAAGTGCCAAAACAAATATTCCAGATTTCTTTCTTCAAATACACCACAGATCAACAGGTGAAAAATGAATGATTAATTAATATTATTAGAAAAATCATCATGATCTGGTTTGTGAGAATATAATTTTTGAGTCTCTGATCTTGGCTGGATCCATATCTCCCAAGTCCATGGGCAAATGTCCTGTTCCATCACTGTCCAAATGACCCTCACCTGAAATTCCTTCGATTTCTGCTGCTATGGAACTACCTCGGACATCAATGTCTGCATAACAACCATATATAATTTGACAATGTTTTTCTTTCTCTTTTTCTCAAAGTGTGTTACACATGACAGAAAATTATCCAACATTAATATTTACTAATGTTAATGTAATGCAAACTAAAAAGTAACTAATTATTATGTTAAATTTTAGATTTAGAAGGCTCATAGAGTTTTAGAGCATCTCCAATGATGTTTTCATTGCTCCATTTTATAACCACATAACACAAATAATTTTATGTGTCATGAAAAATGTCTAGGAGGCTTCTTAGACGTAGAAGACTGAAAGTTATTCTAAATAACTTCTATTATATATTATAATATTTATTTAATTTATTATCCCTCTTTTCCAACCGTTACAATTTTACATTTCACAAAACAATTAACAATAACCATTGGAGACTCAATTATTATTATTTTTTATTTACTTTCTATATGTCATACATCACAAAATGAGCAATATTCTATTAGAGATGCTCTTAGAAATCAGATCACACACATGCAGTTTACTACGATTACCACTTATATGACAATTAAATAGAATGAAATTTTCCGTGAAACCAAATGTGAAGATAACATAACCCAAAAATTGATTTGGAAATGTTTCCTTCTTTGGATGGAAAATCCATGAATAAATTGATTATGGTTTATGTATCAGCACTATACTCCGTATAAATAATTTAAATTAACTTAGTTATTTACAAATTTCTACAACATTACTTAGATGGTAATAGTATAGGGAAAAACAATCCCGTCACGAAATGATTCCGTGATGAATTTTAATCACTAGATAAACATGTAACTTCCATGTATTTATAATAACTATATATCGAATGGCTAAAAACTCTCTCGGTATCATTCCGTGACGAGATTGTAACCTTTTTCAATAGTACAACGAGACACTCATAATTCAGAATTATTTATGGCTAGTCTTCAAGGTGACGAAATATTCTTTTTGAAGCAACACCACACGTTAAGGGTTGTTTGTATACAAAAAATTTCAAAAAAATCAGCGTTTCTAACTCAACTATTTTAACCCAATTTTAACTTAACCCAATGTCATCAATTTATAAATATAATTAAATAATATCAATCAATCATTCATACACATCATATCAATATTAATTCATCATTCACCAGCTTACATTATTTTAACTAATCATCACTTCAAATATCTCTCTCCTACTTTTATATCAAATCAATTTTAATTATTTTATTTTAAATACTATTTTAATATACCATATTCACCAGCTTACATTATTTTAATTAATCATCACTTCAAATATCTCTTCTACTTTTATATCAAATCAATTTTAATTATTTTATTTTAAATACTATTTTAATATACCATCGTGCCACCTTTTTAAAAATTAATAAACCAAACTAAAAAAATCCAACAAACAAAAACATTTATTTTTATATCCAAACATGCTATAACGACAATTAATAATAATCCTAACAATAACAAGGCCCTAACCTGGATTGGAAAGAAGCCATAGGATGAAAGCGCACAGAAGAAGGATCAAAGGTATCAGATGAACCGCACGCTCTGCAAATTTGGCGCGAGATTTTTCCTTCTTAGCCGCCTCCGACAGCGGCTCGTACGTGGGCAGCTCGTCGGCTCCCTCCGACAGAGATCTCAGCGCCGTCGGGACTTTTGACGACGGCGACGACGTGTAGTAGCTGAAATTGTCGTCGGCGAATCTATTGTTGCTGGCTGAACGGTACATATTATTCGGTAATTTTTTTGTTGAATTGTATTTTTTTCTCTACAAAAGAAAACAAAAATCTGCCTAAGCCTGTTGGTAATAAGCTTCGACTGTGTGTATATGTGTGTTTACGAGGTCTTAGAAAGCCTAATTTCTCTCATAGGGTTTGAGGTTTGAGGTTTGTGGCCATCTTCAACGCGAATTTATCTGTCTTCCTATAAATAGAATTATTGAAACTCTTCAAGATTTGTGTTTTTTTTTTTTTTTTATTATTATTACTATTTTTTCCGAAATTCACAATTTTCGTGGGTATTACCAACCAACCCATCAAAATTACTCTAATTTATTTTTGGCTTTCTAAATTAAGAATCGTGGAACTAGGATAATCGAAGACTAATGATTTATTGAATTGTTCGCGAACTGCAAAAAGAAGTAATCACTCTTAAGTTTGGGAAAATGCTACGGTCCGGTTAGGGAACTATTTCGTCGAAGTTTGTAACCGTTAGATCATCATGTAACTGTCGGGGATAGTTGATCTAACGGCTACAAACCCCGACGAATGTTTTCGTAACTGGACCGTAGCATCTCCCGTAAGTTTGATCAAATCTAACCAAAAAGCAGTACTTAATTTAAAGCTTTCACTCTTCAAAATCCCCAAAACAGACACAAGAGATACAACTAAAAAACACAGACACAGAGAGATTTTTAGGTCCCTCGAAGACACTGTTGCAGGGAAATAAAGGAACACAAAAGCACAAACATGAATAAGAAAGAAACAACAAAACATAGTTCTAACTAGAGGTTTTCACAACATCCTGAGCCTATGCGGAAAAAAGCGCAACTTTTCAGGCCGAGGGGAAGCAAACCGAGCCGTTCGAAACCTCTTACTCTTGAATCTTGATTGTATCATGATAACTGCATCCTTTCCCAAGGTCATTCCTGGAAATGAAATCCAGAAAATCCCTGAAGCTGCTCTCTTTGTACCCGTTCGGATGGTGTTCATCGACCAGCTCCTTAGCCACCCCAATTTTCACGTCCATCCCCAGGCTATGAAGGCTAGCAATCGAGATCCTCTGCTTGCCGCTGTTCAGCGTGGCCCTGTGGACCACGCTCTTATACTTCCCGTTGCTTAGTATTTCCAGGTGGTCCCCTACGTTGACTTGGAGGGCTCCCGGAATTACCGGAATGCCCTTCCAAGCTTCGTCTTCAAAATCGAGAATCTCGAGGCCGAACGAGTCTTGGTTGAGGATCGTGAGACAACTGTAGTCTGAGTGGGGCGGCAAGCCGAGCGAGAGTTCGGGCTCCGGGCAGGGCGGGTAGCAATTGACGGCAATCACTTGCATGCCTTGGTTTAGTTCGGTGCTAAGGTATGAAGAGCCTAGCCCGAGGCTCTCTGTAATGGCCTCCATGATTTTTACGGATAGCTCTTGCACTGCCTTGGCATATTCTCCCATTTTCTGCCTGTTGTTAGGTCAATATATGTAGGAGATTTAGCCATCAAAATGACCCTAGGTTTTGTTTGATCATATCATTCAAGATTATGGGTACATGAGTTAATTGAGATGGTACATAGTCTTGACGGGTAAATGATGGTTTCTTTTAGTACATAGGCTTAACTTTCTGAGTGCGTAAATAAGATATAATACATGCCAGCTAAACCTTTTGGGTAAACTCACAAATGTAATTGTAACAGGAAGTGTTGAGATTTTGAGTACCTATAATCAGATGGGTTCTCTGGCCATAATTTTATCCAGTCTTGCAAAGGATTTGCATAGTGCTTGAGAATGTTCCTCCTGTACGGGATCGGGTCCAAGCCATCTTTTATGCTCGTGCAGTATCTGACCGGTTCATACACGTTGTTAGACATCAGCTTGGCCTTGTCTTGAGTCGGCAGATTGAAGAAATCGGTGGCAACTGAAAGAGCTTTGTTGAGTATAGGCTCAGGTATCCCGTGATTTATTACCTGTCAATGTTTTTCATTTACTTATAATGAGATGGACATGAGGTTCTTGCATGTATGCAAGGGAGGAAAAGCTTATTAGTTAAGGAATATGGTTATACAGTAGATATGATCATACAACGTAGATGAATTATGGTTAATGATTTTTTTTCTTTCTATATAGAACAGCATATATGTAATAAATTTGTAGTTAGTAGATGTAGATGCAGCATGAAAAGTTATTGTGTTTTTATGTACTTGAAAGAAACCATAGAGCCGACAGGCATTTGCAATCTCCTCTACCACAACCGGCCTTCGCGAGGGGTCGCACAGCCTATCCAAGTCAATGAGCGGAACACATGCCAACTCCTCGCGCTTACGAGCCCTATCTTGAGGTGACACTTTGTAACTCTCAACCATTTCTCCTATGTGAAAACTCTGGTGATAATTTGCCATATTTGTAGTATGAATATATGTAAAATACAGTAATAACTACTTCATTGAAGTTATGATATCTATTTATATTTGATTTGATTCTCTCTTGACAGTTAAATGCAGGAGGATATCTAGGTACTAGATTTCATCTGTTACATCAATCTTTGCATACAATGTATTTTACAATAAATGTCATTATACTATGATGAGGTTTTGAGGTTTTTTTTTGTTGACATAATCTTTCATCTGTTACGTGAATCTTCGCATACGCTGAATTTTTACAATAAATTTTATACTATGATAAGGTTTTGAGGTTTTTTTGTTTTCACATAAATCTTCTGCTGAGATTTTGAGTTTTGGAAATGATTTAAAACGCTTCAAGTTGCTCTTTTTGTTGAGATTTCCATCTGACTCCTTTTATAATACTTTATATTATTTAAATACGCGCCGCCCATAGTCTTTTACATGTTCGTGCTCAATCTACAGAAACAAACAAAAACAACTCTATTCATCGGGGGCAACGCTTCAGATACCGTGGTTGGCTACCAAAAAAACAACTCTATTAGTGAGCATTATTAACATAGGCAGATGCTACGGTTTCGTTACGGTACCATCCCGTCGGTTGTTTTAACTGTTAGATCTACGTGTAGTTAGATAAGATCGATGATCCAATGGTTAAAACATCCGACGGGATGGTACCGTAACGAGATGGTAGCATTTCCCATTAACATATATATATGTATTGTTTTTTTTTAAATATTGTTATACAAAAATTCTATGGAGCAATCAGATTGTTTTCTTATGGAGCCATCCATTGCTTAATATATTGACACATGTCCAAATTGTATTTATTGTAAGATACGTGTCCATACACTATTGGTGAATAAGTGTGGATTGCTCAATAAGCCAAGTCATCCGATTGCTCCATAACAAAACTGTATTATTATATATATGTTTCGAGTTTCAATGCTCTTAGTGAGATCCACCTTCAACTTGGGATAATTCAAGGATTGGATTCATCGCATCATCCCACAAAGACGGGAGGGAGAAATAGAAAATTAAACCATCTATTACAAATGGGAAGATAAAGACCAATATTTTTCGGTTTTTAATTAAATTAATATTTTTATTGTATTCTTTAACTCAAAATAAATGAATTTATTAATTTTTTTTCGATACGGCATATTCATTAACTAAAACACATAACTATAACTGACTGACTAGCTGAAATAGGAGAATTATCCAAAGCAGCCTAAATAGCACAACGAACACTACAAGACGAAAAAAAAAACTAAAAAACCATATACTAGAAACAAGTTTTCAACAAGAGAATAACACGCTCCTCCAAAAGAGGAGAAAGCAAAACACAACCCACAAAACACCCACATGCTAAACTAAAATAAAAAAACACACAAAAACAACTAAACACTAAAACATGAACAACAACGATCATTCCTGCGACGGGAAGTCTAACCAAATGAAAAGGTAAGGCGAAGAAGATGTAAGCGCAGCAGCGAAGTTGAGGACCCATACCAAGCAGCGAATAAGACAAACTCCGGAACCCGACCCAGAAACTGCAAAAAAACGCCTACCTATGTCTGACACCAACGGACACAACCCCAATCCAAACGGACATCCCCCCATTCCCGGAGGCTTTCCGGGAAAATGCTATGTAAATAAAAATAATGCAACATATATTGAATATATTAACTATAATCGCAATATACTGAACAAAAATTCAAACATCACAATTGTAGTTAGATAATAATGCTATTTAAATAAAAAATCAGGTTATATACTAACCATAAACACAATATATTTTGTCTATTCAATACACCCGAATGCTGAAAATCCCACACATACACTTTATTTGGTAACTAAAAATCCTATAATTTGGGGGAGTGCTACACTTTATTTGATAATTGAATCTCATAATCTGTTGCATATTTGCAATTAATTGGCGAAGTATAGAAATAAAGATTGTCCCATGGTAAATAAATTTTATTTTTTTTCCAAATTGAAATTCGCCAAGAAACAATCACGGTTATAACAACTTATGGGCTTGAGTATACCCAAGCCCATATAAGGACTGAGGCCCAAGTAATTCGAAAAACAAGACAATAGCCCAAAACAGGCAAAACACCCTTCGTTTATTCCCAGCACGCAGCAGGAAAAGCAGACACCTTGAAACACCAACAATGGCTGATGGGGAGGACAATGACGAGTTCTACCTGCGTTACTACGTAGGGCACAAGGGGAAATTCGGGCACGAGTTCTTGGAATTCGAATTCCGACCCGACGGCAAGCTCCGATATGCCAACAACTCCAACTACAAGAACGACACCATGATTCGCAAAGAGGTGTTTCTCACGCCCGCCGTCCTCAAGGAGTGCCGCCGCATCGTGGCCGACTCTGAGGTATGGTTAGATTTTGTGGTTCCCCAAATTCTTACGGTTGTTAGGGTTTTGGCATATTTTGTGTTTTTGGTGTAGATAATGAAGGAAGATGATAACAATTGGCCGGAGCCGGACCGCGTGGGGAGGCAGGAGCTGGAAATCGTTATGGGTAATGAGCACATTTCTTTCACAACTTCGAAGATTGGGTCTCTCATGGACGTTCAGTCTAGTAAGGACCCCGAGGGTTTGAGAATCTTTTACTATTTGGTTCAGGTATAGTTTCTGGGTTTGACATTCTTATCGATTTCATTGTTTACTTCTTTTTTTTTGTCTTTTTCATTTGTTTAATACAACGTGAATTGTGAGTTTGTAACTCATCGGTTAGGAACTTTCCCTTGGTTCCCTTGGTTACTATTATGAATTGGGTTAACAACTGAGGTTTAATAGAATTTATGTAATTTCGGCCAGGCCGAATAGGTTACAAAACAAATTCCTAACATGCTGAATAGGTTACAAAACAAGTTTCTAACATGTTGTGACAGAACAACTAGCAACGGTGTACATAGCACGCATGCCGTTATGTACTTGTTTAAAATGTGAGGTTGTTTGATGATATTATCAGATATTTTAGGCCTCGTCTTTGACTTACTTGTGTTCTTGTGTTGGGGGAGATATTGTATGTGTTCATTTCTTATTTTGTTTTTTCCATGGGGGGAATGGTTCAAGATTGTTTGTAGATTTCATCTACTTTATTTAGTATATGAAGGCTTGAGAATAGTAGAATACATATAGCAAGTTGGATGAATTGATAAGATCTCTCCTGTATAGGGTTGCCTTAGGTAGCTTTGCTTGACATTTTGGGCAGCTGTTATCATTTGGAACTGTACCTGATGAGTACCTCATTGAACTTTTTCGATTAGTATGGTGCATATGATTGGAACGGGGGGACTCGTTAAATGCTGATTCTCCAGGAGGATGTAAGATTAAAAAGGGATATAAAGGTCTAGAGGTTATATTGGTTAACTGTTATTTATTTCTGCAATACAACTAGATGAGAAAAATAAAACGTGTTTAAACTTATTGGGTCTGACCTTAACTTGGATTGATCTTTAGTATATTAGCATAACAGTAAGAGGACTTGCAGCTTTAATGTGGCTAACTTCTGTATATGCTTTTGTCATGAAGCAGTCATGTCCTTTTTATGGGCAATGAATGGACCACTTGTCTTATGGGCTTCCCGTAAACTCTTTCAGCTTAGTACTTTGATTCATACTGGAAAAGTTATCAGGTAGGGATGGCAATGGGGCAGGTTCGGGCCGGGTAGTTTAGTACCTAGAAAGCCCCAACGATTATTCATTGGGACCCCAGAAAGTCTAATTTTTGTTCCTTACTACATTAGAAATGTGAAACCTATCCTGTTTTAAATAACTGATTATTATGTTAAATTATAAATTCCCAAGATATGGAATTACTGGGAACCACCATCAGTTATTCATACAAAGATGATGTATAACAAGGGGTTGATCATTGATTCTCACCTTATTCAATGCTGCGTGATTATCAGTAGTAGCTAAGGGAATCATGTGCTGTGAGCAATTTATTTAGAAAGTACTGAAAATGCAGTATGAACTTCATTGCAATTCAGCTTTTATCATACATAGAATGCACTTTAATTTTTTTGTTATATTATATCCTATAAAAGACTTGTATTTTGTTGTATTCTTCTTATTGTATAGGCAAGTCGGTTCTGTTTATGGTAGATAATATTATTTCTATTATGGCCTTTTTTTTTTGGCCTGTGTTGTTGTTTACACAAGTATTTATGCTTTTATTTCACTGGGTTTTTGAGAATCAATATTGTCGACTTTACTTTTGCAGGATCTGAAATGTTTTGTCTTCTCACTCATCTCATTGCACTTCAAGATCAAACCCATATGAAGAGTATGCTGGTTTTTTTTTTTTTTTTTTTTT